TACTCATCATTGCCCGAACCCTCAATGTTGGCGCTATTGCAAAGCTTACAGGTTGCTCGGAACGGACCATCCAGCGAATTGTGAATGCTTTCAGACGTCGCAGCAGGCCCAGCTATGCGGGGGTGTCTTGCTTATGAATTATAGGGAGCAAAGCGAAGTCCGACCGTGACAGCAGCCCTGCAACCTCGACACTGCAGCTGCTCACTCATTTCTACACTGAATTCCGCCAAATTTTCGATGGGGCGCACAACTAACAATACCCCCGGCCATTTTTACGACTCCCTCGAAGTCTGTAGTGTCCTAGTAAAGCCTCCTATAGCGAAATATGCATTTTTAAGCGGCCTTTACAGTTCTCTCTCAGTTCTCAACGGATTTGCTTGAAAATGGTGGGGCGCAAAAGCCCTCGTCAACGCGATCTCAGACATATTATTTTCATTCGAATCCGATGGCTCGTTGTGGTGCTATGAGGCTCGGAAGATACACGCGGGAAGATTGCTGACGCGCGTCGATTTCGACGCGCCGCCAACTTTTCTGAAAACAGCAATAATGTGAATAGACCTGTATCGAATCCATCCGCGGTACTACTGCAGCCATAATAAAGACATGAAAAAAGGTGACCGCTTGCATATTTATGTCCTTGGCAGGATTCGAGCCTGGGTTACCACGGATTTGCAACGGAGAGAAGCAAGCTCCCTCGTACCACAACGTGGTGATCTAACCACTAATCTACAAAGACACGTGATTGGAAGTCAGCATTCTCAACTCTGAGGACGAGAGCGTAGACCGCACTGGTTGCACGAGCGATGGCTGGAGCTAGCGACAAGGAGCGTCAATCCCAGCCCGGCGCAAAAGATACGTTGTCCAAACCTGTACCTTCGCATTAGTACCACGACTCGCTGCCAAGCCGTCAATTTCCGTCCTCGCAGGGCCGGCAGAGAGGCCCTCGTTCCCAGCCAAAGCGACGACGGCGCAAAAGATGTACGTGAAAAACTGTAAAAACCGGCCAGGTTGATCAGCATGGACGTGTACTAGGGGAGAGTTTCAGCGGAACAAACCATGTAAGTCTTATGGTCATAGCGCGGGCCTCCCATGCGCAGAACACGGTATGCGAGGGCGATGTGCAGAACACCAAGGGTAACGGGGGCGAGTTCGAGGATGCCTGATATATGCAGGACGTAGATGGCCATGGGCATGAAGACGAAGCAGATGATGACCCTGCTCGCGCGGTCTCCGACGACGACGGGGAGCGTAGTGCGCCCAATGGAACAGTCGCCCTTGATGTCGCGAAGATCCTGGATTTGCATGTTGAGCCCCAGCCATAATGCCACGGCGAAGGAGTAGGTTTCGATCCTTGGTGTCATCGGCGCGACTATGAGCCACGACGCCTGCAATAGCGCCCATGTGCCTGCGGTCATCGAGATCGTATTCTTCCAGAACCAGTTGCCCCCGCCGGGGGTGAGGACCATGGACGCGATCGTGGCTATCCAACAAATATTTGCAGGGAGGAGGGACGGCTGGAACGCGGCGGTGCCGACGAAGGACGAGAAGACAATGAGCCAGCGCACTTGCGCGCCGGCTATTGTAATCTTGCCCGAAGGGATGGGTCTGTCAGGCTTGTTGATCCTATCCTCTTCGACGCCCGTGATCTGGTTGGAGAGAGTGAAGAGGTAGACGAAGAGGGTGAGCCAGGAGACAAGAAATAGGGAGTTGTAGACGGCCTCCATGAGCGAGAGGTTACGGAAGGCACCGGAAGCCCAGAGGGCGCCCGGAATAATACTTGCGGACCAATCTCTCCAGGAAAATCCTATGAATATATCTAATTCGTGGAGAATTAGCGTGAGGATGGTCAACATAGTAGAGAAGCGGGAAGGAGGATGGATTTGTGGGTTTGTCAGGGCTTTGGGTGATGATTCAGTAGGACCATAGACTGAGGATCTTATATATGCATCACCCGCTGGAATAGCCACACTGAGCGTCTTGACAGCACAATTCTCGACTACTAGTATCTGTGCATTCGCAGAAGGCCTTGTGACGTATGACATGCGAAACAGCCAGGCAACAAGCATCGGATGATAAGGCCCTGCCGTGTTATAGTTAGTCCACAGATTGAAAGGCAACGACATGGGATGAAGTATTCCAATTCCGCTCGCTTCCCCACCATTGCTGAATTCCGATGTTCATTGGCGTCAGAATTAGCCACCAATGGATAGGAAGGTATAGCCCTACCTACAGATGGTGATCATGTGCCAATGGCCCTGAGCAGTAACGCCCGTTGAAATTTGCGAGGGACCGTTCGGATTGTTAGATACCAGATAGAAACATGAGGTACGTGCACGGCGTCTGCGACTGCTTGTTTTGTCCGTCTAGTCACACTGATCCATACCTACCTATGGAAGTCTCCTGTGGCAAGGCGGGGCCGCTGAGAATGCATTAGATTGAAAGAGACGCACATGCGATACGTTCCTGTGTATGTGGCTTGGAGTCGAACTTCGAGAGATCTTTAGTACCCTGAAACATATGTCACATTGACTCACCCGGAATTCGAAGATAGTATTATTTTTGGTATTTTCGTTCCCGCGGCCTCCACGACGAGTGCGGGGCATATGTTCCAGTTCACTTGTGGGTCTCCCGATAGGAATTAAGTAGCAGATGTTCGAAGGCGAATAAGGTAGACTGAACATACCATGAGATCCGTGCGGCACTTTCTCTCGTTTGTCGCCGTGCAGATGCCGATATCCTAGCGGGAAAGCGAACGGTTCAGGGACCGCGATGCTTTTTATATCGCAGCAGAAGAATTGCCACCGCCGCTCCACCGCCACGCGTCGTTTTAAATACAAGAACCGTTTGCAATCTCTATCGCGCTGTCAAGTCGTCCTTTCTTCCGAACGTTCTTTCACTTCTTACCCCGCTCATCTTTGCTGAATCTGTTTCTAGTGGCGCGGAGGTCCGACCGTTGATCTGATATAACACGCGTGAGTCATATGTCCATTAACGGTGTCACACCACGAGCTTCAGATTGCTTGAGACGGCCGCAGCTGACGTGAATATAATATTTGATGCGTCAACAGGAGTTCATTCGGTATACAATTGTTCAAGGCACGTACCTTCGTGGCTCCCTGACCCACTAAACCGTCCATCAACCTCCCCACAGGGTCGAGGACGATTCCCTCGTTCCCCGCCAACGCGATAACGGCGCAAAATATATACGTGAAGAACTAGAAGGAGTGGGTCAGTGAATGAACATTTAGGTACGTTAGCGAAATGCGGAGTAGAACGTACCATGTAGGTCTTGTGATCGTAGCGCGGGCCACCCATGCGCAGGACGCGGTACAGGAGGGCGAGGTGCAGGATGCTGAGTGTAACAGGGGCGAGTTGCAAAAGGCGCGAGACGTGCAGCACGTAGAAGGCCGCGGGGATAAAGACGAAGGACATGATGACCCTGCTCGTGCGGTCTCCGACGATGACAGGAAGCGTGGTGCGCCCAATTGCACGGTCGCCCTTGATGTCGCGGAGATCCTGGATCTGCATGTTGAGCCCCGTCCACACCGCCACGGCGTAGATGTATGTCTCGATCTTGGGCGTCATCGGCGCGACTACGCGCCACGTCCCCTGGAAGAGGGCCCATGTGCCCGTGGTCATCGAGACGGTGTTCTTCCAGAACCAATTCCCCCCAACCGGCGTGAGGACCAGGGACGCGGTCGTGGCCACCCAGCAGATGATTGCGGGGAGTAAGGTTGGTTCGAATGCCGCGGAGCCGACGAAGGCCGAGGCGATGATGAGCCAGCGCAGCTGGGCGCCGGCCATTGAAACTTTGCCCGAAGGGATCGGGCGGTCGGGCTTGTTCACTTTGTCTTCCTCAACACCGGTAATTTGATTGGAGAGTGTGAAGAAATATACGAAGAGGGAAAGCCATAGGACGAGGAGGACGTAGTTGCGGATGGCTTCGGTGAGCGGGAGCCCACGCAAAGCACTGAATACGAAGAGAGAGCCCGGGATGAGTGTCGTCGACCAATCCCTCCAGGTAAAACCCAGAAAGACGTCGAGTTCACGGGAAATTGACTGGAAGATGGATGTCATCGAAAGTAGTGCGGGAAGCAGGCTGCAGGTGGCTCTCGTATGTGAATGCGGGGCACTGGGTGACGGTCAGTACTGCGAGCCCAAGGTCTTATAGAAGTCCTGGATGGCCGGTATACAAACATATGACGGTAGCAATTTCATCGGCAGTGGAAACGATACCTGTGGTGAGAATAGTCAGCATGAAGCGTCCTTTTCCAAAGAGGTAAAGCGTCACCCGTGCCGCATACGGGGCGCTTCGCAAATTTGTCATTTCATGTTGAGAACCATGTAAGGCATTTCCATGCATCGCCGAGGCAGCTTCGATACGGCGTACATTGTGGGAGATGAAGATATGACATACCAATAGGGAAAAGGCGGCAGTGGAAGAAAACCATCGATGAATCCGAAACTCGTACATGACCGGCAGTCCTGATGTCATACTTCAGAAGCGATATGCAAGTCACCGCTGTGCAAGGAACATGTTTCAATTTTTGGTTGAGGCTCGAGTGACGCCAACCCTTTGGTCTCGGACACCTACGGTGCTTTAAAATACCCTTGTGACGAATCGAAGAGCTGTCAGTTGTCGGAGGAAAACTTCAACTCGAGCAGGCTGTACTTAGCTATCATCATGCAGACGGGCATCGGGAGCAGTTAGTAGCCGTCTCGCTATGATGCGTCGAGGGAACTGCTGCACGAATGCAGACAAAGGTTCCCCCGTTATGATTCCGCTCTCAGCGCCACTGCCGCTGATATGCCGATAAGCAGTTTTCATCGTCAGTATCAGAAGCTTCTTCATGCGGCTTGATGTGAGACGAGGGTGATCCACCACAAACGTATGCTGGCGACTCGAAACAGGTTCTTGCAGGATGCCTATGTGAATCTCGTAGGTTATAGCCATGCCTCTGGAAAATTTTCATGACGCTTGTCGTCAGCTCCAGCAAGTGTGTCTACCTGAAATACACGTTTGCGGATCTTCGACTTGTTTTCGGAAGATGTCGAGATGGTAGCCTTCCGGTCAGATTCTATAGACAATACGGGTCACCGTGGCATGCAGGCCACATCCCCAATCCCTTCTGACGTACATACCTTGGAGTCGAAATCTAGAACTATCAAGTCTCTGCGATGCGCGTCCGTCTGGTCTGGATATGTATGTCCTCGGATAAGGTGTCATCGAGCATAGACCACGGAGAAGTGTGGTTCCGAGAAACAGCATGGGATGCACGCACATACCATTTCCGACCGCTTACCGCTTACTTCGATAGCAGTCATTATCATGCTCGGATCTTGAGTCCCGGACCGTTCAAAACACCAAGCCCTCGCGTTACCTGAAATCTGACTGCGGGCCCCGCCCCGACTGGTACATGGATAGATTTGCACAAGGCCTGCGTGGTTTGGGGACCCAGTTAACATATTTGCAGTCCCACTGCTGCGCACACGTCTGAGAAGACAAATTGGTTAGAGATAGTGGTGATTGCGCGTGAAGTCACAGAGCTTAGAGGGCTGCGACATACCAGTGTGCAGTACGATACACCTAGATTGAGCTGGTTGAAGATCTCCATGCAGGCGAATTACGTGGCGATAAGACGATTGTTCCACTTGCAATGAGCTTGAGCGTTGCCTGAGCGCTTGGAGTGGCGCATTGTCGAAATGGGCGGCGGTCGCTTGTCAAGCCCTTGGTAC